CTCTTGTTCCCTACATACCTTCATAGGGACATCTTCAGTAATAGACTCAAGTTGTCTATTCTAGTCTCAGTCTGAAGCATTGTTTCAACCAGTACTCATTCTCAAACCACTGCCAGTTGCAGTGGCTCAGTCTCTAAGTCTAGTTCTAGTATAGCACGTCAGTCTTACATGTAACAGTATCTTTGTCAGTAGTAGTCTTAAGTGGAACTCCTGATCCTCAGTCGTCAGATCCCTCAAGATGGTCAGGGCAGTGGAGGTGGTGACTTAGGAGGTTCAGGCAGGATGAGGGATATTTAGGAGCAGTTTTGCATGATTGTAACGCAGCACTCAGCCCCTAGTAGCGAGACTCACACAGAATCACATCCCCCACTCAGCAGAGCTTAGTCTGGCTTCAAACTTCTTTGAAGCATTGCATCTCCCTACAAACTACAACTATGACCCTCTGAACTATGTCTGCGACCTTCTGAACTATGCCTACGACCTTCAAACCACGACCTATCCCAGTACACCCCCCTTCAAGACACACCTACACATACAGCTAAGTACTCCGAAGTTCTGTTCCTACACCCGACCTTTGAATGAGACTCGTGTGTCTGTGATTGAATTGCACTTCACATTTGAGTTGTCAAGCCAGCTCCCCTTTTACCTTCCCTCCGCTTCTACAAGAAGTTGGAGTGTTCAGATGGTCTGAAACAGTCTCATGACACTGTCCCAAGAAAACATAGTGAAGTTGTCACCGTTCGAGTGAGCTATCAGAACTACAAGCCCTCACCCTCACCAGCTTCCCCGAGAAATGGAAACTCACCCTCTACTTTGCACCCCTGAGTTAGGGTTAGGTTTCTCAAGGTTGCATCACTGCTATCCATTCACACCCCTGCCAAATGTCACTTGTCGCCCATTCCTAATTCCAGGACCTCCAGAATCTTCCAACAGTGATGCCATAATCTTACATCAATTTCCTGGACCTCTGGAAATCCCTCACACCTCGGAAGCATCCATTGGATCTTACTATGTGGCACCTGCACAGGTATTCCCATCCTCATTGCCTACGAAGACCTCATCCTCTCCAAACCCTGACAGCCCCCCTGCTGCATCTACTGATTCTCCCAATATGCCACCTCTTGCCTCTGATGTCTCTGACAATGGGAGTCTTGATCATGCTCCAAATCTTTACCTCCTAGCCAATGTCAGCGAATATGTTACAGCATCCAAAGGACACAGCAGCAATCCTCAGGAATTCATGGTCTACAGCAATGATGTACTAATTCACCAACCCTCCAATGATGTTAGCAGATCCTGGCGATCCATTCCTTTTGACACCTCTACCCCTGTTCAAGATGTTGATCCTTTGGAATGAGTTCTACCCCACTTCCCTGGAGCATATGCTAACCTTGTCACTTGACCTCCCATGGGCGTTCCCATTGACAGCAACCTTGCATTTGGATTACAACGGGTTTCAACAACTGCAGCAGATGTACTCTATACTGCTGAACCTGTGGGGAATTGGAACTCTTCAGACAAGGAACGGGAGGAGGACACTTGGGAGTACCTGCTGACACGAGATGATAATTTGTTGGAAAGTCTTTGGGCATCGCTGTGTCACGTGATGACCCGCAGTGACTCTACCCTAGACCCAAAACCTAACCCTAAACCCATCTGTACTCACTATCTGATAGTTCTTCTGAGTAACAGCTTGAAGGTGGTTTACTAGTAGAGGGTGCTCACTGAGTTAGAGCAGGTAAATGACTATAACTAGTCTGGCCCTAACTGGTACAGACCTACTGGCTTATATACATGCTGGGTAAGCCCCCCTAATACTGTAAGACAAGACCCTTGGTACTTGTGCTAGCTACCCTATTGGCTATTTACTAACACCTGCTAACCATCTTACTAACCGGTGTCAATGACGAATCCCC